CACCCCCCCACAGGATTGTGTTTATTGCTGTTGAAGGAATTTGTGGTCAAAATGAGGTTCGTCCACATTTGTGTCCCCTCAACCCACAGGACCCGTGTGGCAAGGCTGAAGCAGGTGTGAGAACAGTGGGGACGCTGGCAGGTTAGAGGAGGCAGCAGGTGGTGGGTGAGCTGTTTTCCAGGTAATGTGATCACAGTAGTATTTATAGGGTGGCCATTTTCAGGCGTGATGGACTTAGGCCATCATCTTGGGTTACTTGATTGTTAATTGCAAAGGAGGGCATAGCTGTGGAGTGTTGATGTAAACAAAGGCTGATGAGTCCACAGTGCAAAGCTTGTTTGTAGGTTCTGTGTCACCTTGACTGTCTTTAATGGTTTGCAATTAATAAATACTGGTAACTGAGGGTGGGGGAGTAGTTACCTCAATCAGAATCTTCCTGTAAACAGCACTAGTTCATTTAGATGCATTAATGAGTCATGGAGAATAGTCAGAGGAACCCTGGAAGAGGCCTAGTAGGTCCTTAGGCAAGCAGTTTAGTGACTGAACTCACCTCGTCCATACCCCAACTGAGAGCCTATTCCAGCTGCTGGCAGCAATAATCAAGAAGAATCCTGCATTCTTGGCCTAGGCCCTTAATTTTATAGACACCACGTAACCTTCGGAATTGGGGGGTTAAGATTGGAGGTTCCCAGCTTTGGCTGTGGCTTCCCAGTCCTTTGGCAGTGGACAGCTTCACTCTCAGGACCCGCCACAGGCTTTGTTTCTGGACAAGTTACTATGGCCTCCTCTGGTCTTAGACCGGTCCCAAGCCCCTGACATCCCAGGCCCTGTGTCTTTGCTCCATCTCCATAATGCACAGCTATCGTGTTGAAAGAGACACTAAAATCCAGACGCAGCAAAGCATCCTCTTTTGCATGTACTAAGGTCCTAAAAAATAGTTTTATCTTGGACAAGTTCCCTTTTCTTTCCTCTTTTGCCAGTTATTTTTGCACTCTCGCTCTATAATATATAGATAATCGGCTTACCCTATTTACTGCACGAAGAGAAAATTAAACGCCTGAATTTTTCATAGCTTTGGGAAAGTATTTCCAGAGTGTGAAAAAATAGACATTGGACATTTCAGTTACTTCTTTTCGTAGAGTGGGAATTTATTACTCAGCTCAGTAACAATCTTGGCCCAAACTAAGCAGTCGTGTGGGCAAGCGGTAGGTACCTTTCCTTAACTGCACTGCCAGGGACAGCTTTGTTCTTATTTGAGGCAGCATGAACCAAGGGTGTCTTTCCATCAAAGATCATCTGATTATCTCTGAATCTTAGACATACCACAAAAGTCATTAAGACCTGGCCAATGGATTTTACTTGTATGAGATATTGCATCGCTCCCAAAGGATAGGAAACAAAAGGGGAGGGAGGCAAGAGAGAGATCAGAGCTCAATAATAAATAGCTCTTTGTACCAGTCCCCTCCCCTAAGCCCAAACCACTGAGATCATAGAGTAAGTGAACAGCATGCAGAGGGCAACTGCCCCAGCAGCTGGACGGACGCTGACCAGATGTGAACCTGTCTTTCCACAGTGTGCGGCTGTGACCTGGCACAAGGTGGCTTCTTCATAAAGAACGGGGAATATCTCTGCACCCTGGACTACCAAAGGATGTACGGGACACGCTGCCATGGCTGCGGGGAGTTCGTGGAAGGAGAGGTGGTGACTGCCCTGGGCAAGACCTATCATCCCAACTGCTTCGCTTGTACCATCTGCAAGTAAGTGAGGCTTCCTGACAGAGCAGTGCTGGGCTCAGCGGCCAGAGCTTGGGATGGACACCTTAAGCCTTGAGTTGTGCTGAGTCTTCAAATATTCTTTTTCTGATGTGTCCTTAGATTTATTTATCTTTTTAATGTATTATCAGTCTTAGTCAGAAAAATAATTTATGATGTCCTCTTTTAAATAATATGACTCATTTTGAGTGGCTTGAAACCAAGTCTGAAAGCAGCTCTGGGTCTGGAAACATGAGCAGTGAAACATTGGGAGGAAATGACATAACTGATTAGAAAGATAAAGCTTATTTGGAAGTAGAAGTGTTTGTGTGTGTGTGTGTGTGTGTGTGTGTGTGTGTTTAAAGTAGTCTCATTTACTCTAGAGCAAGGGTGGGCCAATTGTGTTCCAAATTAGACCTGATACCTGTTTTTGTAAATAAAGTTTTATTGGAACACAGCCATGTCCCTTTGTTGATGAATCGTCCATGGCTACTTTCAAGCAGCAGTGACAGAGTTGGGTAATTGCGACAAAAACCATATGACCCACAAAGTATAAAAAAATACCTATGAGCTGGTGTTTTAAGAGAAAAGTTTGCCAACCTCTGCTCTCTGGTCATCTGTCATCTACAAGGTTAATCTTAACTTCACAAACCAACTTGATTAAAATGACCGGTCAGAGAGAAGGAAACCATGACGTGTGGGTGGGAAAATTGCTTTTATTGTTTTGCTATGAATACTGCACATTAGAGAACTTAAGTTGGGTTTGATTCCTAAAACGAGATTCACAACAAGGGTCCTGATTGGTGGACACCACCTGCACGTGCCTGTGACCTGCCTCCCTAGCTGATCAATCTAGGCCAGCCACTGAACCTCTCTGGGCCTTATCTGACCAATGGAGAGGAACACTGCACCCCGAGAGGAGAGGAGACCACCTCAGCTCAGCATTTCTAAAACTTGAGGGTATAAGCATTTAAGACTCTCCTCAGTGCCTGTCACCTAGCAAATTTGTGGTGTGGTCGTAAGTCCAAATGTACTATCTATCTGTCTGTGTATTACAGTTAATTACCACTGTGAGGCAGTCAAAGGGCAACTTCAGGGAGTGGTGGCAGATGTGAAAGTAAAACTTATGTCAAGAAGCTTGACTTTGTTCTTAACTAATCGCTCTGACTCAGATGCGTGGGGATGTTTTGCTTGTGAGTTTTCTATTTCCAACTGACACAATCACACATTTGAAAACTCACGTTGATGAAGATTATTGGCAGATTGGCCAAGTGCAAGCAAGTAGGCATGGAAACTGTCCTGTGGCTATTAATGAATAACTTTAAAAATGCTCTCTGCCTGCTGAACTGGAAGAGAAACTGATAACATACGTGCAGACGTCAGTGTTTTTGCAAAATGTGCTGTTATTGATGAATGTCTCATGTGAGGGGAAATTCTCTTTCTGAAAAGAAGCTGATAGTCATTTTTAAACATATTTACAGGATTGTCATATTTCTCCATCAGCACAATATCACCCATTGAGATGTCCAGGGCAAAGTCTATCTAATTCAGCAGAATTTATCACATAGGTCTCGGGAACTGAAAGAGTTAACACTTGACCTGTAACCAGTTCTCTTGGGGAGGGGCCTTAAGCCTGAATAGGCATTTATGGCATTTGAGATGTTTCTTCATGAAGGATTTTCCATTTGGAAGATGGAAAGTTTTACTGTGTGTGCCCCGCTAAGCGACTTGGAGCATCCCCCCCGCCAGTGGGTGGAGGTGAGTCATTCATTCCCTCTGCTGTCTGGGCGCCCGAAGGAGCAGCGCTTACTCCCTCCTCAAACTGAGGCACGTTTGTCTGTCTGGACCGTAGCCAGCTGGCTGGCTTGGCTCAGATGGCATTTCAGACATTTGGGCTGGTGCTCCACCAAGAAATGGGTTGGCCCCGCAGGGCGGCAGGCAGAAGGAATAAAGAACAGGAATGAAGTCGCTGGAATAACCTGCAGAGCACTGTCCTTCTGTCCCCAGGCGCCCGTTTCCGCCCGGAGACCGTGTCACGTTCAATGGGAGAGACTGCCTTTGTCAACTCTGTGCCCAGCCGATGTCGTCTGGCCCTAAAGAAGCCTCCTGCTCCGGCAGTAAGTGCCCTAGCCCCTTGTTGACATGACTTCCTCGTAGTTCAAAGGTAGCTTAGGCAGATACCTTTCTTTTTGGGAAACTCAGAAAGTTTGGGGCCAAGAGCAGTGCTGTCTAAGGCATTTTCAGTTGTAAAACATGAAGCCTTGATTAAAACCCATGCAATAAAGAGCACTTCCCTTATTGCAAAAAAGACATAAATAGGATTGGACATGAAACTGTGCCTTTTGACAGTAACTGTGAGACAAGAAATTATAAAACTTTACATTCAAAATGCCATCTCTAGTCACGGAGATTAAGGTGCGAGAGTATTTGGCGGTGATGTGATTGGTATCTCTGTGTGTTAAAAAACTATCTCCACTGTGCCCAGGGCAAATGAGATATTTTATACACACCCTTAAGTATTGTTCATTTGCCTGGAGGGGTTCTGACATTTGGCTGTTGGACAGATAATTCACTGAGTACCTACAATGTGTACTATTCACATTGGCGACACAGGTGTGAACAGAGCCAAGTCAGCATCCTCAGGAAGCTTGCTTTCTGGTGGCAGCAGGTAGACAGTAAATGCACACATGAAAATACCTACTATGTGGAGAAATTTGAGTAGAAAGAGAAATGTAGGGGCTGCACTGATATGGGTCCATCGAGGGAGAGCTCTCCTAAAAGGTGACACCTAAGGAGGGAGCTGAAAAAAAAAGTGGGAACAAGCTATCTGCTGGAATTTGTAATTCTTGATCACAGGATCTTGTCCAAACTGTGAGAATCCAAAGAAAACCGCCCTCCCCAAAATAAAAACAGTGGTCAGTTGCACGATTTCTTCTAGTAAATAGCAGTGGGTGGGCCAGTGAACCTTTAAGTGAGACATAGTCTGAACTCTGGGCACCAGACAGGGACACTCTACCTCCACCCCTTTCCTGGGGCATGAGGACATGGGCGGGAGGTTGGCCTTGGTTTCGGTGGATTTTGCCAGTCCTTGGGAGAGCTGGAAAAAAGCACCGTTAGGCCCTGCTGGTCTGAGCACGTAAGAATGAGGTCAGCTACTTGTGCTCCGGAGGAATTCTGTGCAGTTTATAACAGTGATTCCAGATCTTCCTGTTGAAGTCAAAGGATCCTGATACCTGTTAAAGATGAGACTGTTCTGACCAAAGCATTTGCATAGAAATTGGATTTTGACCATCGGGAGGGAAGAAGAAAAGGAATGTTAGTGCATCGTATCCAATAAGGCTGGATCCTTAGCATGAGGATTTCTGTGCCCTGTGGATGAATGAATAGTAGTAGCCTGGGTAGAAAACGGCTACAGAGCTGCTCAGTCCTAGACCCCTGGCAGGATTTCGAGTCCTTACCTAATCTACCCCAAGCAGGCCACTGGGAAGGTGACCTGGGCTGGGACTAGGCACCCACTCCGTGGGAGGACTTGCTCTGAAAGAACATTGCCAAAAACGTTGGAGGAATTCTCCAAGCTAGTTAAGAAAAAGAGTCCCAGGATAGGATGACAGCTGGGAAAGAGCATCGTGTCCATGGCCTATAATAGGAATGGCTGTGTCCCCACATTCTGTGGAGTCCTTTAGTCCAACTGTCTGTCTTGATAGGTGGGGAGATTGAGGCCCGTGGGCATACTCAAGCTACCCAGTAATAAGGTTGGATTAGAGGCAGGTCTTGGGCTCCCGGTTTGGAGCTCTGTTCTGTTTCATCTAACATTCCTCATTGTTTGGACTATGAAACAAAAGTGGGATATTTTTAAAGGGTCCCAGTTCTTTCCATCCATGCAATCAGGGATCCTATTTCCTAGTCACAGCTCTGCCAAAATGGTTACTCCAGCTTTTATTAAACTTTATTTTTTTTTGCTTTATTGACCTTTCTGTTTTTTGTATGACATACACGTTATACACATAAAAAAGAAATAAAAATCTTAAGTGTAAAAATGTATCATACTCCACTTCATTACATCTCCAATGTCAGATGTAATAATTATTGCTTATGTGCAAATGGTTAGGACAGATCATACTTTCTCCTTCGCTCCCAAGTGGATGAAATCCCAATTCTCGGCAACTGCTTTGATCAGTTCTTTGTTATTTTCAACACGTGCTGGTCTATTTAGATAAATGCTCAAATAGTATTTATGAGGCATGTGGGTGCGGGTGTCTGCCAGAAAGAGAGCTCTTCCGTGTGGATCCACACGTGCCGAACCCCCAGGCGAGGCGGGCACAGGGGCACTGGAGCAGGGGCGTTTTCAGCAAGCCCCTGAAATTCACTGGAGCGCAATTAGAAAATACTCGGTTGCCATTTGTAATTCTTGGAGAATTTGCCTTGTATTTCAAAACTATCCTGATGCGACTCTGATTCTGTTCTTTTTTTTTTTTTTCATTAACTTGGCAGCGCTTCTTACATGAAAGCAAAAAATGAAGCTCTTTCTTGATAATGTTCACAGAGTCGATGAAATGCATCCGAGAACCAAGGTCCTCTTTTCCCTCTGAAATGTTCTTTGAAAAATGAGTTTGTTCTTCTGAACCGCGGTTTTCTTTCACGCGCCCTGGCAGGTTTTCCCTGATCACCGAGGAGCAGGTGGAGACAGGACGAGAGGGAGAGAGGAAGTGAAGAGTGGCCACCAGAAGCCAAAAACTTGACACAAAATAGTCTGAGTTTGAGCTCCCTGGACAGAGATGCAGTTTCCGTTTCTCCCGCCCAGGCACTGCCTTGTCTGTGTGCTCTGGTTTCGAGAGAACTCCCAGGGAAGTGCCTGCGCTTCTGCCACCTTTCTTCTAACCTTTCTATCCATTTTCTTTTCTTTATCCAACGTTCACGTAGTAGTCGCTGTGCATCAGGCGCTGTGTCACTGGGCAACAAATTTTAACTCTTAATTCTCATTGCCGCCCTATATGTTGACGTGAAAACTATCCCCCTTTCCCAGACGCCGAGACAAAGGGTCACAGAGGTTAGAGACTGTGCACAAGGTTACACAGACACTAAGTGGGGGAGCCGGACACAAACCCCAGCTGTCCGGCTCCAGATGCCATTACCAGCCCTGATATTGATTTGACAATGTAGGTATCGCTGTCCGGTTTTCGAAGATGGGGGTGCTGAGCCTTGGAGCGGGAAACGGACTTTTCAGGTTATCCATGTGTCCTGCCCCCGGGGCTGCGCGCTTTCTACCTGCCACGGCTGCCTCCCTGTTACAGCAAGACTGGGTGAATGGAAACCATCAGGAAGTTATCCATAGAAACAAACAACTCCAATTAAGGATTATTGCCCCTGAATTAATTAAGACTTGCTGCATCTAGTCTAATGCAATTTGAATTCAAAAAGCAATAACCGTAATCATCAACAGAGATGATAGTAAGTTACCTCCCAGGGTTGTGACGAACGTTAATTAGACTGCTTTTACTATTAATAAAAAAATCAATGGCCTATGTCTAGCTGATCCATACTTTAGAAATAAAGTGTATGTCCAGGAGACATCATGCTCTGCCAGAAGGTTACACACCCCTTCAGAGCTTAATTCAACTCCTTTCTCCGTGTATTTGCCTGTTAATGGAGGGACTGGATTCCCATGGGTTAAGGAGCCGTGCGAGGGGGAGCCTGTGTGTGACAACGCGAGCGTGGGGAATAGGGCTTGGATTGTCATTTCCTACGGCTCCCGTCTATTTCAGGCACCTGAGCAGGAGTGGGCTGCTGTCTACAATCACCCTTTCCATTTCAAAGGGAGTCTGACTAGTGTCTGATTGCGCGTGGGTTGGGCGGATTGACGCGAGGAACGCCCACGCATGAATACATGCAAACCCATCTTCCTCTCCCTCCCTGCTTGGTACAGCATTGTCATTATTCTGACTGCCTTTGGAACTCCTACAGGTATCAGGACAAATGCTCTACTCGGTATAAATTTAAATCATTTTAGGGAGGCGGGGAAATACATTCCCTGACAGTTCTACTTTTCTTTTTTTTTAAAAAGAGATTGGAGGGAGGCCTCACCTCTCTGGGCCTTCAGGGTCCCAGCCCCTGGCCTGGCAGCTCAAGTATTGCTCTACTGGGTAGGAGTGGGGTTTAGGGTTTACATAGCAGGCAGAGATTTATTGCAAACAGACAGAGTACATTGCAGAAAAGGAACATTTATATTCAGATTTTTCAGATTGAAATCTATAACGATTATGAGTCAGACACAAAGATCCCAGAGCGACACATTTTTTTCACTTAACCGGAGCATCGATGATCTCGGAAGTGTTCTCAGTGGATGGAAAGTTAATGGCATTCGGTTATTTGCTATTTTCGTTTCACTAGATATGCCTCTTACGTATTGAGACCACACATTCTCATAACTTATCAGGAAAACTGGAATGATAATGTTGGAACAGCAGTTGTTCCCCAGGTTATTTTTAATTTGCCAGTGGCAGTAAAGATTTAGCTGTTCAGAGGACTGCTGTGTGTACCTGTAATTGTATATTCCTGTAGATCGTCCCAGAAGGATACTGAGAAATTACTGTTAGTACTTGTCTCCAGCAGGGAGGAAGGGAGTGGTAGGAGACAGGAAGGAAAGGAAATTATTTTTACTATGTGAAAAAAAATTTTTTAACCATGTGTATACGTATGACCTATTTAAAGCCAAAGTACTTTAAAAATAACATAATGTTTATTGTATAAAATAAAATAAAAGGCCCATTCATTCCAGACTGAAGTTTCAGAGCAGTTTGCCCTTGCTGTGACCTTCAGCCGAATGTGTATTAAGTGACTGGTCACACGATGGAAGTACCAAAACTGACATTCTACCTTTCCTTTTCTCCCTTCAGCCTTTGGAATAGAGTGAATGAGCTGATGTTTGCTAATGATACTGAGTCTGAGAAACTGACGTAGGACTCGCGCATGATTTCCTGTTTGGCCCGAGCCCCTGCGTGCTAGGAGACCACAGCAGTTAAAGATTAATTATGAAACTCTTCACCGGGTTAAAGTTTACAACTCAATTAGGGAAATCTGTGCAAGAACAAACCTTCTTACAGTTACAATTTTTTCCCCC